TAGAACGTAACCACATTTTAATATTAAGGTTATTATTGTGAAAGAAATACCGTTATGGCAGCTTTGGTTTCATGTTGTTTTGGCTGTTGTGGAGACAATAACAGGGGCCACGTAACACTGAAGGAAATGCCCACGGTTCAGCTGGACACTCATCACATGGGTAAGTGTTGCGATCTGACATTTCAGACACATTACATTCACGGAAAAGAGTTTGAGTCTGACGATATGATAAACAAAGCTGTCCTTCTTTCAAAATAAGTGCCTTTGTCGCCATACAGTAAGTGTTATGATCATTTCACTGCTGTCAGACTTGGCATAACAAGTGTATTTACAGTTATTTGAGTTTGTCATCTGTAATGACTTGTATATAATTTAATGGTATGAGGGAAGGTGGCTTATTAAACGATAGTAAAATGACACAAAATGTATAGCATGTAGGATTAATGAAAAAAGAAGAGCATAATTTCAGAACGTCATGAAGCAGAAAAAACGGTAGTAAAATATTTTGGTCTCTGTTATGCAGTTAATTAAGTATGTGGCAAATGGATTATTTCCCTATGATATTTCAGGTACTGATGTTGTCATTGTAAAGAGTGGAAGACGCATATGTGGAACTGGTGGTTGCATTGCAAACGCCCCTCTCCATCAAAACAAGAGCTACTTTGAGTTCAAGATTCAATCCACAGGTAAGACGTGATGTGTGCAAGCATTTACGTGCAAGTTAGACAAATTAGTCTAGTTTGTTTTAGTCATTAGGTGTGACTGCTGTGAACTTTGGCCTTTGCAGGTGTCTGGGGAGTAGGAGTGGCAACACAGAAAGCAAATCTGAATCAGATCCCTATGGGTAGAGACCCACGCAGCCTTGTGCTCCGGCAAGATGGCACCGTGTACCACAACAATGAAGAAAAGAACCGATTACCTGCAAACAGCTTACCGCAGGAAGGAGACATTGTGGTGAGTCTTGGTGGCATTGGATTAATGTGGAATTTGTTGGTAAATAAATCTACTTGTGTGTGTGTGCGCTTGGTAAAGGGAGAAGCATTCCATTTTGGACTGAGAGGATTCCATGTGGGATTTGCTGCCTTTAATAACAAGGGTTCTTATCTGTATCATTGCAGACTCATTAAAAACTGGAGTTTCGTTGTGAACTTCATTTTGGTGTACCACCTGACTGTAATTGCATACTGAGTTTACTGGGTTATCTGTAAGATGGAAACCTCTTAGCACTAATATGTATGCTGACAGGAGCTATGAGAGTTTTCTTGAAAGCAGTGGTTCATTTTCAGTGTAATAGCTTCATGTATCTAAGTTTCTGTTTTCGCTCTTTTTTGTGTGTGTGTGTAGGGTGTTACGTATGACCATGTGGAGCTGAATTTGTACCTAAATGGGAAGAATATGAGCTGTCCAGCATCAGGCATTAGAGGAACTGTTTATCCTGTAGTTTATGGTAAGTATTTTGGAGTATTGTTAAAAGATTTTTACAGCAGC